CGGTTCGGGGGGTGCTCGACGGCCCCTGAGGCTCTCCCGCTAACCAGGGCGCCGTAGAGAGCCAGTTCCAAGCCCCTGGGCAGCGTCATCGCTGCCGCGTACTCCCTAGTCGCATGAACGCAGAGCACGTCCTACTTAACAATATAATGCTGCTAAGGTCAACCCAGTGTCGATTCGTGTCGTCGAGTAGTGAAGTGACAATCGGACATCGCTCCTAGAGTGGTTGAGTTGAGTTGAGTCGTCGTCGCCCGTCGTCGCCCAGGGCTGAAGGGCGCGTCGTCGTCGTCGTCCGTCCGTCCGTCGCCCCCCGGGACTGCAAGACGCTTACGCAGCCCCCCCCCGCATACCATCCGCAAAGAACCGCCCTCGTCGTCGTCGTTGTTGCCCCCGGGGGCCGCAAACCGCCTACGCAGCACTCCCCTCCCGCCACTATGGCATCCGCAAACGGCCGTCGGCGTCGTTGTCGTCCGTCGTCGTTCCCCCGCAGGATTGTAAGACGCCTATTTCTGCAGCGCCATCTCCTTCGCCCACCCCCCACTTGCCATCTACAAAAAGGCCGCTTTCGTAGTCGTTCCACCGAAGGCCCCAGGGGCAACGCCAGCACGCAGTTCCACTCCCATTTCGGCACGCCCCTCACCCGTTTCGTGGCCCCCTTGGGAGTTCCACCGAAAGCCCCATTTGTAGCGCCCGCCTGCGGTTCCACCCAAAATTTCGGTGCGCCCCACACGGTTCGTGGTCCCATAGGGAGTTCCACAGGCCCCAGTGGCAGCGCCCGCGTGCGGTTCCACCCGCCATGTCGGTGCACCGCTCACCCAGTCCGTGGCCCCATAGGGGGTTCCACCGAAGGCCCCAGTGGCAGCGTCGCATGCGGTTCCGCCCTCTATGTCGGCGAACCCTTCCTCCACATCCCCGTCCTCCCCCCTCCCTACCATCCCATCACATCCCGGACCCCCTTCCTCCCATCCCATCCTTTCCTCCCATCCCATTTCCCTTTCCGCACATCCCCCTTTCCTTCCCCCCGTCCTCCTCTCTTCCCTCACTTCCCCCCGACCGCCTTCTCCACCCTTCCCATGCCTGCCCTTACCCTCTGCACGTCATGGCTTCGGCACACCCTTTCACACATTCCGTTGCCCTATAGTGGGCTCCACCGAAGGCCCCAGTGGCAGCGCCCGCATGCGGTTCCACATTCAATTTCGGCGACACCTTCAAAGGTTCCGTGGCCCCACAGGGCTATGCCATAGGGAGCTCCACCTAGGGCATCAGTGACATCGACCGCACGCTGTTCCACCCTCCATGTCGGTGCACCGCTCACACGGCTCGTGGCCCAGCGAAGGCCCCAGCGGTCGTTATTTGTTGCCCCCCTCCTTCATTTAATTTTTCTCGCGATGCTCGAAGGCCCTAGTGGCAGCGCCCACATGGTGGCCCCGCCACGGTTTGGCACACCCTCCACGCGCTGCTTGGCCCCAGAGGGACAGTCTCCGAAGACGATGCTCACCACGAAGGTGTTCACGAGGACAGATGGTTGGGTCTTTGGCCGGGCTCTTTCTTGAAGCGTCCCCCGCAGGTTCCTTTCTTCACCGGCCGCCTCCACGAAGCCCCCCCGGCAGCTCTCTCGCGGAGCCGCGCGGCGGCGTCCGCACGCCCGTCCACGCCACGGGGCCCGAGCCCTCCGTCGCGGCTGCTCCCGGTCTCTTGCGAGGGCCCCGTGTCTTGCGAGGGCCCCCGTGCCTCGAGAGGGCGGGCCTCCGGGGGGTGCCCTGACGAGCGCGCGCAGAGAGCTGGCCGTCGTGGCTGCTTGCGGGGCAGTGGAGGGCGGCGTCGTCGTCGTCGTCGCCGTCGTCGTCGTCTTCGTCGTCGTCGTCGCCCCTGGAGCTCCAATCTTGTGGACCCGTTCAGCAGAGCACGGCCACTGGAGGCCTCGAAGCCTTCTCGGGGATCGGGCTTTCGTCCCGGAGCAGTTTGTAAAGTCGGGGGCGTCCAAGACGTGGGCGAGGGCTAAGGGGGTGTGAACATCATGGCCGCGGCCATGGAAACCTCCCAGATGTCATGCCCCTCTCTTCTTGTTATCATTATTGTCATTATCATTGTTAGCATTAATTATTATCATCATTATTCCCTACCTAGGCTCTGCCTAGAAGGGTTCTTACCCTCTTCTCGTAAAGGGCCGGGCAGTGTAAAACGCCCCGGGCGGTTCCCCTGGCATCCGCCCCGTGGTTCCCCCAGTTGCGCCCCCTGGGTTCACCCAGCTTAGCTTAGCTAAGCTTAGCTTAGCTTAGCTCAGCCTTGCCTAGCCTAGCCTAGCTTAGCTTAGCTTAGCTTAGCTTAGCTTAGATTAGCTTATCTCATTGTAGCTTAGTTCAGCGTAGCTAAGCTTAGCATAACTTAGCTTAGCCTAGCTTAGATTAGCTTAGCATAGCTTAGCTTACCTTAGCTTAGCGCAGCGCAGCGCAGCATAGCGCAGTGCAGCATTAGCACAGCCTATCATAGCATGTCATAGCCAAGCATAGCATAGCATAGCATAGCTCAGCATAGCATCGCATAGCATAGCATAGCATAGCATAGCATTGTACATCATAGCATAACATAGCATAGCATTGCTTAGCATAGCACAGCGCAGCATAGCATAGCGCAGCATAGCATAGCATATTATAGCATAGCATAGCGCATCATATCATAGCATAGCATAGCATAGCATAGCATAGTGCAGCATAGCATAGCATAGTCTAGCATAGCATGGCATAGCGCGGCATGGCATAGCATAGTATAGCGTAGCAAAAACAACATCAAGCAACAACGAAATCAACGCTCAAGCAACAGCAACAGCAACAGCAAAAGCAAAGGCAAAGGCAAGAGCAAAGGCAAGAGCAAACGCAAAGGCAATGCAAAGCAAAAGCAAAACCAATGCGAAAGTGTAGATGTAGATGTAGGTGTAGGTGTAGATGTGGATGTAGGTTTAGATGTAGCTGTAGGTGTAGATGTAGGTGTAGATGTCGATGTAGATGTGAGTCTCGCTGTTGATGTAGATGTAGATGCAGGTGTAGATGTAAATGTAGCTGTCGGTGTAGATGTAGATGTTGCTTTCCTAAATGCTCCAACTCCTAGGTGGGTCGCACTGGGATAATTTTATTCTTATTATTATTCTCGTTATTCTTCTATCTGCTTCTTTCAATGCAATGCGGTCCATGACCCCCCTAGTCCGCACACGTGCGTCAGGGCATGATGCACTACCCCCCCTCTTCCTGGCCCCCCTCTGCGGCGCACCCGGTAACAGCCCCACACTGCGGCAACGGGCCAGCGTGTCGCCCGGGCGGCCGCCACGGCTCGCTGAGCAAAAGGTCCCCACTTCTGGAGGAGGTGGGTTGACCATTAGGAGCAAATTCGTCGAGCCACCTGCGCCCAGAGGGCTGAGGGGATGGATGGGAAGCCTCCGGCGCGAGTTTTCTCGGGTCTCCGACAGTCCGGGCCCCCATGGAGATTTGCGAAGGTTTCCAGAGAGGAGGCCCCCAGGCCAAAAGCGTCCGACGTCTTCAATCATCCGTCTTCAAAAAACAAGGCCTAACCCCCCCCTCCCTCGTTGTTGTCCCTCCCTCCTGTCCTCTTCTCAATGATCCCCCCCTCCTTACCACTCCCCTTCCCCCTCCTCTCCCCCCTCATCCTGCCTGCTCCTCCTCCCTCCCCGACGACGGCGGTCGCGACGACAACGATCGCGACGACGGCGGCCACGACGACGACGACCGCGACAACGACGGTGGCGACGATGACGACGGCGACCGCAGCGGCGACGACGACCACAACGACGACGACAACGAAACGATGGTTCGGACGACGACGGTGCTATTCACGACACCATTGAGGTAGGGCGGTGACGACGACGACGACGACGACGATGACAACGACCGCCACGACGGCGTCGACGACCGCGACGGGGGCGACGGCGAGGGCCACGACGGCGCTGACGTGCGGACGGCGACGACGGCGACGACGACGACAACGAAACGATGGTTCGGACGACGACGGTGCCATTCACGACACCATTGAGGTACGGCGGTGACGACGACGACGACGACGACGACGACGACGACGACGACCGCCACGACGGCGTCGACGACCGCGAAGGGGCGACGGCGAGGGCCACGACCGCTCTGACGTTCGGACGGCGACGACGATGACGACGACGACACGACGAAAGCGTTGAGGTTGACGACGCCAGCAACGGCGACCATGACGACCGCGACGACGGCGACGACGAAGGCGTCGACGACGGCAAGAACGAGCGCGACTGCAACGATCACGACGACGACCACGCTGGTGGCGGCGATATCAATACGTCCCCCCAGGCATCACGTTCCACCATCCTCGTCCCCTCCTGTTGCCTCCTCCCCTCCCTCCTCTCTCTCCCCTGGCGTGCCCGGCGTGTGTGCCTCGCGTGTGTGGGATCACGGTCAGCACGCGCAGCCGTGTGAAGCCCTCGAGACCGTTTTGGTGCAATCTGGCTGGGGCCCCAGGCTGCAGCTGGGCCTGTTCACTGTCTTGCGCTGTCAGATGTTCGATGGGGCTTTCGACGACGACGACGACGACGACGACGACGACGACGACGACGGCCACGACGGCGACGGCGACGGCGACGGCGACGGCGACGACGGCGACGACAACGACAACGACAACGACAACAACGACGACTACGACGACGACGAGGAGGAGGAGGCGGAGGGGACCGAGGCGGGGAGAGTCTGCGACGAGGCATTCACCAGTCTGACGACTGGAGTCTGTCATCAAGGCATTCACGAGGATGAGGGTGCGGAGGCGGGAAGAGGGGGAGGAGGAGGAGGAGGAGGAGAAGGAGGAGGAGGAGGAGGAGGAGGAGTATATGAGGAGAAGGACGGGGGAAGAAGAGGGAGGCGAGAGAAGCAGGAGGAGGGCGAGGTGGGAACTGGAGGAGGAGGAGGAGGAGGAGGAGGAGGAGGAGGAGGAGGAGGAGGAGGAGACCGCCGCGTGACCAGGGAGCGTGCCGCCCAGCCGCGGCCTCTGCGTCCAGGGGCCCGCCGGCGGTACGGGCAACTCGTGCTGGAGGGGCGGCGGGCGCCTCGGAAGGCGGCGGCGAGGCGGGCGAAGCCGACGACGAAGGGGAGTGAGGGAGGGAGGAGGGCCAGGGGTGGCGGAGTGATGGAGGAGGGTCCCGACCGCAGCCCTGGGCTGGGAGCCGCCTGGGGGTCTGAGGTGGCCCAGCACGGGTTCCAGCCAGCAGGAGGGGGGGGCAGGTCCGAGGTTCTGGGTTCGGGGGGAGGTTGCTTTTTGCCTTTTTCCGCTTCGGGGGGCCGTTGTCAGGCCCCAGGACCGTGACAAAGTGATCCGGGGTGACCCCCCGGAGGGATCCGGGGACCGATTTTGAGTAGTTTTCGCCTGCCCCATCTACTCCTGACAGATGTTCTGTGGTCTCGGAAGGGGATCCAGAGAGGAAATAACACTCCGATCCCCATAACAGGCGGTTCCTGAGCAGCCCTGGGTGTTTACCTAACAACCCTGCCCTGTTCGATCCCTTCCTGGGGTGCGTTTACTCAAGGGTTTCGCTTTTCAGGATGCTTATTATGTTGGTAGTTTTTCTGTTCTCTAGGGAATGAGGAGGAAGCGGGGAGGAGGCTATACGGGAGGTGAGACAAGGAGGACGTAAGGAATGTGCGAGGAGGAGGAGAGGAGGAGGAGGAGGAGGAGGAGGAGGAAGAGAAAGAGTGGAGGAGGAACAAGAGGAGGAGGAACAGGAGGAACAGAAGGAAGAGGAGAAGAACGTCGTCGTCGACGGCGGCCTTAACGACGACGACCACGACCACGACCACGACCACGACGACGACGACGACGACGATGACGACGGCGACGACGACGACGTCCTCGTCGGCCGAAAGGGAGGGAAGGGGGGATGAAGAGGAAAGAGGACGAACAAGAGGCGGAGGACGAGCAGGAGTAGCAGGAGGAGCCAGTGGTGGGGAGGCCATGGGGAGCGGCAGCCAAAGCATCTCTGAACGGTTCCCGCCCCTAGGGTTCTTGCACTGCAATTTCGAGGCATCTTGATCGGGGGGGGCGCCGAATTAGCCAGAACGAGGCAAACTCCTCTCCATTCACTGCTGCACTGCCGACCACGACTCGGCATCGGCGACGAAAGGAGGACAACGGGAGGAGAGAAAGACGGGCGAGAGGAGCGAGGGAGGCCACGGAGCCAGGAGAAGAGGGGAGCGGCAGGCAGCAGACAACGGATGGGGGTCGTGGTTGCATCAAACAAAAGGTTTCCCCCTCATTTCTTGCAGCACTGGCCAACGTTAGCCTGGCTGGACGAGACAACGTGTGGGGGGGACCAAGATCGAGTTGAGAGGACATTCTTCGAACATCCTTCTGCTCACTGCACACCGCTCTCGGGTTGCCAAAGGTGTCCTAGTCGAACTTGGTGGCCGACTTGGGCGAGGAGGAGGAGGAAGACGAGGAGGCGGAGGAGAGAAGGCACGGAGAAGTGAGGAGTGGGGTTGCCGGTGCGCCTCCATCAGCTATGCCGCTTGGCACCAGCACGCAAATATCAATGTTTGCCAGCGTGGACCTCCAACAGGGAGCTCCTGCGCTCTGGGTGCGTCAACTGTACGGTGCACGCCTGGAGGCGCAGGCCCCCGACCAGGCGAGACCTCGACGCCCCCAGCAAGCGTGCGCCGCGCCCACGGCCGCCCACCAGGCGGAACCTCGACACTCCCAGCCCTCCTCCTCCTCCTCCTCCTCCTCCTCCTCCTCCTCCTCCTCCTCCTCCTCCTCCTCCTCCTCCTCCTCCTCCTCCTCTCATCCAATTCCTATGGCAGCCGACATATATGACATCCCGTACACAGTTACGTGCAAGCACGCATTGCCTGGAGATTGCTCTTGTTCTACGCGGTGCCGTTGCCATGATGGGCCCGTTTTCCACCACCACCACAACCACCACCATAAGTTGGAGTGGGAGGGGGTCCTCCATTTCCTCCTCCTCCTCGTCCTCCACCTCCTTCCCCCCTCCAAATTATGGTGTGGTGGTGGAAAACAGGCCCATCATGCCAACTTCGAGGCCTCCGATCTTCTGGTCCCCCCTGCGTTTCTGGAAACAGCCGGAGGGTAGGGACGTGTGCAATCCGGCCCACCAGCCGAACAAGTACATCATCGATAGTTCGGATGAGGGGAAGATTCGGAACAAAGGGTACGAGGCGTTGGTGGAGCAGGTGTTTCCGTCGGGCCATCTCTTTTGTCGCAGGGGGTGGGGCCTCATTCTCTCGCCTTCGTCCACGGCGTTGTGGTCGAAATGCATCGTCTTATCTGCCTTCACCGCCACATTGCACTAGCAGCTATCATTGACAAATCTCTCGCAGTTGCATGTTTTACCAAGGCCGTCCACTCGTAAACGTTTACGCTACGACGCAAGGCGTTCCCAGCAGCATGCTTCAAATGTTCCGTCAGGGCGATTTGCCTAACCTATGCTGCGACAGCACGGTCGGGTGGCATATTGGCATACCTGCCCCCGTCAGTTTTCGGGGCCCTTCTTCCCCGACGTGTCAGGAGAGGTTGTCGTCAGTGCTGTTGTCGGTGTTGTAGCTTCTTCGTTTTCTCCCAGGCTGCTGAAATAAGAGACAAATGAGTCTGGAACGAAGCTCTTTTTTCACGAAGTCGAGCCAGAAAATCCGAATGAATGGCCGAGCCTCTTTCCAGCGGCGTTCCACCGTGATTGTTCCTTGTCATTGTCTAAGCCTCCTAGATGGGGTCGGAGTAGATGGGGTCGGAGGATCGCGCCGCATCGCCGATGCATCGACGATGCGGCTCGATGCTGAGCCTGATTTTCTCCACGCCGGCGTCGCCGATACGTCGCCGACGTCGGCGATGCATCGCCGATGCATCGCCGATACATCGGCGATGCATTGGCGATGCGGCGCGATCCTTCGACCCAATCTTCTCAGACCCCATCTAAAAGGCCTCTACAATGGAACCCCGCCCCCCTGCCAAAAGACCACGGAACGCACCGTTTAACTTGAGAAAGCTTGTGGACATCATCTCAAATCCCATGAAGAACGGGCGCGCGATGCCATGTCGTATGACAATTATTTACGAAACACTAAGGAAACGGGCCCCTCTTGGCGCCTCGTCCTCTTGACAAAACAAATCCGCGCGTGCTAAAACTTGAGGAGCACCGAAGGGGTTTGGCTTGCCACCCAAAAAGTAACGAAGCGCATGCGAACCTCAGAAACGACCGAGCCCCTAGCGACCTCGTACTGGACCTTCTTTCAACGACTGGACTGCATCATGATCCTTAGTCTGATTATTATGTTCCACCCTCCCTCTTCCTGTTAGCCGTACTCGTCCTCATCATGTTCCTCCTGTTCCTCCTCCTTCCCCCTGCTTCCTCTCTACCCTTCCAGTATTCCTCCGCCTCGTCCTTCTGATCCTCTCCCTCCCCCGATTCGCCTCGTTACCTTTCCTTCCCCTCAAGCTCGAAGGTACGGAGCGCATCCAAGAGTGATGCGAGGCCCCCATCCCTTGCTTCCTCATCATCATGTTGCCCTGACTCGATCGTTCACTATCTCGCCTGTCCGCACCTTCTCCACCTTTTTGCTCTCCCCCATCCTGTTCCCCAACCGCTCCTCCGTGTCTATGGCTTGGCCTGGGGACGGAGGAGGAATAGGGAGACGCTGATTTATTTGCGAATGGAGCTCATGATCTGGTGGCCATGGTTTACTCGTTCTGTCATAAGCTTCAAGGTGAACTGGTTGAGGTTCCCCAACAGCTCGGGAGCTACACCTTTCACTTTCCCTTCGCTGTATTGTGCCCACGAGGCTCTTACTCGTGGTCCGCCAAGGCACGTTCCTCATCATCATCATCAACATTATCATCATCATCATCATCATCATCATCATCATCACCATCATCATCACCATCATCACCATCCTCATCATCATCATCACCATCACCATCACCATCACCATCACCATCATCAGCAGCAGCAGCAGCATCAGCATCAGCATCATCATCATAATCATTATCGTCGTCATCATCATCATCAGCATCAGCATCATCATCTTCATCATCATCAGCAGCATCAGCATCATCATCCGCCTCCCCCTCCTCTCCTGCTCAGCCCGTGCCGCCGTCGTCGAGGTGCGGGCCGGGCTGAACCCGTTCGTGCAATGCCCAGGCGCGGGTGCCAGTGGCGGCCGTTTTTCCGCCTGAAGTGTCGTTCGCCGTCGGTCGTCCGTCGTCAGTCGTCTCCAGATCCTTCTTGCGTCATGGAAAAAACATGACGGGAGGTTTTCTCTATGATCTGTTTCTTGGAGTTCTTGTTGGGGCCCAGGACAATCGAACAGCGTTTCAGGATGGAAAGCCAGTCTTGGGATCCGCGTCAGGAGAAACATGACCTCTGCGGTCTGGATTTGGGGTCGTACACGGGACACCCCCGAAGAGTCAAAACCAGTGATAGAGGTGTTTCTTCTTTTTGGATGGGCGTGGCGAAGCCCGAAGGGAAATTGGATTTCCTGAAAGTCGGGACGCCCTTCGGCCGAGCGTTGGTTGGAAAGGTGGAGGAGGGGCGGTGGGGGGGGGGCGGGAACGTCATGCAAGTAGACTTGCCTGAGCCTAGCGCAAGACAACCTCATACGAGAATTTGGTATGGGAAATGGGGTCGAGAGCTCCAGGGGTCCCCGCCCCACGAGGTAGCGGCGCCAGAGGCGGGGGAACTCGGTTGTCGTTGGGGGGAGCGCGAGAATCACGGCGGGGTCTCCTGAAGGGTCCTCGGTCTTGCTAGGCTCGTGGTACGGCCTTGGATGCCCTCGTGAGGAGCCCGCAGCGCCTCCTTAAACTTCTTCGGTGCTGCAGGGGTGGGGGGGGAATCGCGATCCGCATTGCTGTCTTCCCTCACCTCCAGTCCCACGGTCCCCCTTCTCCTCCACGCGCTCCGCGGCCTGCCTTCTTCGCTTCACCCAGTCGGTTCCACCCCTTCTGGCTTCATTCCTCCCTGCATCTCATGGCGTCCTCGGATGATCCTCGGCGGATCCAAGGACCAAAAGAACAAAGACGGCCTGGCCTCTGGAGGAGGGCCGTCCTCCTCCGCGGGGGGCCCAGTCCCCCGGAGGGCGCGCGGGTACGGCGGGCTGCTGCAGCACTCTCAGCCCTGGCACCCTGGGTTCGCGCCGTGTCGACGTTGCGGCGCCCCTATCAGAAAGACAGTTATCCGGTTTGGAAGATCGTGTCTAGACTAGAGAAACGATCAGATCATCCATATGATCGAGTCTGTTGAATGTATCTCGCTAACCCCTGAGGGAGGGAGGAGGAGGGAAGGAGAGAAGGAGGGAAGGAGGGAAGGAAAGAGGGGGGGAGGGAGGAGGAGGAGGAGGAGGAGGAGGTGGAGAAGGAGGTGGAGGAGGAGGAGGAGGACCTCCCGTGTGGAGAGCGCGCCGCGAGTTGCGCGCTCTGGGCCCCCGGGCCTGACCAGGGCAGGCGCTCAAAGCCAAGAGCGCTTGCGCCCGGGCGCCGCCGCAGCAGCGGCATCGCGCGGGCCTGACACAGCTGCGCCTTTCGCGCCTATCTTGCAGCGCAGAGCCCGAATCACAAACATTGGTCGGCCTTTTGTGTCGACGGCGAGCGAGGGAGGGGAAGTGAGAAGAAGAAGGCTTTGTCAGAAGGCGGCGAGGCTTGTCAGAAGCCCTCGCGCCTTCCGCGAAGTTTCCTATGTCTTCAGGGGAGGTTCAGAAAACTTCTGACGGAGAGGGCCTGGGGACTCCCGAGCCTCCGGAGAAGGCCTGCCCCCTGTTCACTTCCCCCGTGGGCTCGCCATTCTTCTTGCCTTTCACCTCCGTTGATTGGAGAGGCCTGACGGCCGGTGCCGCCGACCCTGATCGAAAGGGCTAGGAGTGGGAGGAGGAGGAGGAGGAGGAGGAGGAGGAGGAGGAGGAGGAGGAGGAGGAGGAGGAGTCTTCTTGCCCCTCACCTCCGTGGATTTCTGCTCCCCCGCCTGCCTTCCCTCCTCCCTGCTCTCCCCTGCACGCGTCGCATGTCCGAGGGCCGCGCGGATTTCTCGGGTCGGCGTCGGGCCGCCCCTGGCGGCGCCTCCGGGCGCGCTCCGCGCACCGGGGCAGGGGGCCCCGCGTCGGAGCAAGAAGTCCGCGCGGGCCTCCGAGCAGCCATGCGCATGCCGTACCTCCCCCTTCCTCCTCCTCCCCTCCCCTCCTCCTCCTCCTCCTCCTCCTCCTCCTCCTCCTCCTCCTCCTCCTCCTCCTCCTCCTCCTCGTCGACCCTCGAGGCTCGAGAAGGAGAAGGAGGGTTGGTCGCAGTATGCTCGTGCGCATGCCGTGCCGCAGTGCTTCGCGCGCCCCGCCTAGCTCTTAGCCGGCAGGGGCCCGCTCCCGACCCGCCGACCAAAAAAGTGTGCCGTGCCGCGTGTGTGCCCCCATCGGCCAGATGTCAGCGGCTGCTTGACGCCTGTGTAGCGTCTGAGTTGCTGCAGTGTTTGCGCACCGCTTGGTTTCACCAGGCAGAGCGCAGCAGGATTGGATGCGTTTCGGGTGCGCTCCCTGCGCCAGATTTCGGGCATCAAACACTCGTACACCAACCGTAGTAATACTGAAACGGTTTTGCAACGATGTTGCGTTCAGAAGCTGAGCGACACACTGACGCGCAGGCAGTTGGAACTCATGGGACAAAATGCCCTGATGCCAAGGAACAGCCCCGTGCGCAAGTACATTTTCCAACCCGGTACTTTCGAGCTCGTCCAGGCTGGGACTCGCCGGAGAGGTCGGCCCCGCAACACGAAGAAGTGTTTCAGGTATGCGACCTTGTTTAGTCACGGCCGGCGGCGATGAAGCTCTGCACGCCCCGGAGCATCAAGGGTTGAACGTTGAATCTCTGATGTACGAGCCTCGTCCCTCGGGCTGTCGCCTGGGTTGACGCCCTCCTCCCCCTCCACCTTCTCTCGGCTGTCGTCCCTTGTTACTTGCCATCTTCCCCCCCCGGCTCCGGGCTCGTCCTGTACTCCGCGTGTCACTCCCTCCACTGCCTCCCTGCTGCGGTTGCTCTCCCTGGTCGTTCACCTTGCGGGCAATTTTGGCGAGTGGGGTACGCATGGCGACATTTGCAATTTTCCCTTATACATGGAGCCAGCGATGCCGGAGGCTTCGCATCCTCGGTCGCAGTCGTTTCACCCCTTTTGCCAGCGCTGTGCACGATTTATGTTTTTCTTTTCTCTCTCTCTCTCTCTCTCTCTCTGGCTCGAGAGGTGCAAAGTTAGGTGGCCTGGGCCCCCGACCTCGCGCCACTGTCGTCGCCGCTGCTGCCGCCGCCGCCGTCGCCCTTGCCGCCGCCGCCGCGGCCCCGACGCGCGCGGGCCAGGCGAGCTGCACCAGGGCGACAGCTGCCCCCCGGGCGACCCGTGCGGGGACCTGATGGCCCAGGAGTTCGGCGTGCCCGAGGGCCAAGGCCGGCCGCGGCCGACGTCGACGCCGCCACCGACGACGCCGGAGGGCACCGCCGCCGCTGGCAGCGCCGACGCCGGCGACGCCGATGCCAACGCTGCGGCGACGCTGACGCCAACGACGATGGCGTGTGGCGGCGCCGACGACGGCGCCAGGACGGCCAGGGCCCTGGCGGCGGCGGCTTGGGACAGCCTGCACCCCTCCGTGGAGAGTGCTGTAAATCACGGAGGCTTCCGCTCGCAATGGATTGAATGTATGCCGACGAATAGCGCCGAATATCGTTCAAACGGCGCCACAGAGCGCACAGTAGCGCGAAGTTGCACTGAATAGCACTGAAATGCGGCCCAATAGCGACAAATAGCGCCAAATTGCATCATGTGAGAGATATGCAGTATGTCCCCTTGCACTAGGTTGGGTGCGCTATTCGGCGCCATGGGCAAAAGCTTCCCTGAGTTGCTGTCTAACTTTCCTGCGATTTTGGTTCCGAGGTCTCAGCGAGGCGCAGATGCGAGGCACGGGTCTCGGCGAGGCTGGAACGATAACGTTAAGAACAGAGGAAAGCATCTGGCCTCGTCTTCCTTCTTAGGCGGCGCGCGCAGGTGGGCGTCAGGAATCGAGGTTTGAGGGTTGCGGGCGTTTTCGTCTGCTCTGCGATTTTCCAGCCTCTGGATACGATCTAGCAGCTGCGCCTCACCGAGGGCGTTGCGGGAGTGCCTGGGTCGTCCCGAACGGTCTCCAGAGACCCGTAGTTTTGACCCGAAAACCAAGGCCAGTCAATGTCAGTCGGCGGCGAGCGAGGGGGGGAAGTGAGAAGGAGAAGGCTTTCTCAGAGTGCGGCGGGACTTCTCAGAAGCCCTCGCGCCTTCTGAAAAGTTTCCTGTGCTTTCCGGGAAGGCCCAGGAAAGTTGTCAGAAGGCCGGGGAACGTCCGAGCCTTCTGGGAAGGCCCGCCCTTTTGCATTTCCCCCCCTGGCTAGCCGCCGAATCAGGGGGGGATAGACTCGGGGCGGACGCCTCGACTCCCGATCGCCCGTTCATCGCCGACCCTGGGCCCGATGGCCCACGCCGCACAGGCGCGTGGGGAGTCGCTATCGGGGGCTTCTTGCCGATCGGTCGGGGGCGCATGCGCGTAAGCGCCCTACATTGCAAACGAGGGTGCTTACGCGCGACTTCACGCGTGCGATTACGCGCAGATGTCGGTGACGAAGACCCCGTGTGTTGGCGTCGCTCACCCGGAACCGGAGACATATATATATATATATATATATATATATATTATATATATATATTTCATGTTTATATGTATCGCCGATCGATCGGCAATTGCTTCCTTTCAGCGGGGCGAGGGGCGCGGCCTTCTGAGAGGGTGGCCCCGGTCATCAGAGGCCGCCCTGCCGTCCGAGAGGCCCTCTCTTGGGATGCCCTTCCGGAGGGGGCAGGGGCGCCATCGTTTCGGGCGTTGCGCAACGTGGGGGGCGGCGATGAATGTGGGGGGTGGAGAAGGGTGCATCTTTTGTGCCCAGAAGGGGCCGTAAGGGGGCGTCGTGCGGCCGAAAAGCGGGACGAAAGGTGCACGCTCCCCCCCGCCAGGTTATCGCCCCCGATTGCGCAACGCCCGATCGCTGAGGAGCCGAGCCCCCCTCCCAGAGGGCCGCCCCCCCTCGCCGTGTTGTCCCTTTTCGTTGGGTCGTGTGTCGCTCGTCTTGCTGCCGGATCCCGAGACTCAAGCGAGCTACAGACCTCTCCAGCACACCAGTCGATTCCCTGAGATCCTGGCGCCCAAATTTGCTCGAGCCGGGCGTTTTCGCCAGGTTTCGGACCCCGGGACCACCACAGATCGATCCGGCTAGGCCGGTTTCACTAAAGGGTGGTTTACGAAAGGGAGGTTTGTCCACTGCCGACACACCCGCGGCCCACCCATATTGCTGTTGAACCTACTCGGCGCGTGCGGAGGGCTTGTTCGTTGTGTAAAGTGTGAAGAGAATCGGCGCCTGAGAGCAGATTTCTGCGGAGACCCGCAGAGCTCCAACGACCCAGCCGCTCCTTCACTCTTAACCGCAGGTGCGGACGCTATGGCAGAAAGAGAGGGGCAGGACCGCCGTGAAACCTGCCCCCGCCAGAGCCCAGGCCTGTGCGTCATGGACGCCAGCCAGCCCCAGAGCCGCGCGTGCTGGGACATGTGCGACGGCAGCAGGCGCCCAGACGAGTTCGAGGACCGGCGCGGACTGAGGTATGCATGTTGTCTCAGGGGCTCCGGCAAGCGGGAGACATGAGAAGCAGGAGGGCGGTAGAGAGGGAAGGGGATGGAGGAGGAATGGGCCAAGGCCGCCCACAGTCTGGCCGCGAACGGGCGAGTATCCTCCTCCCTGGCGGCCAGGAGGAGGAGGAGGAGGAGGAGGAGAAGGAGGAGGAGGAGGAGGAGGAGGAGGAGGAGCAGGAGGAGGAGGGGGAGGAGGAGGAGGGGGAGGGGGCTCCAGAGCCTGAAGAGCCTGGCGAGCGGCAGAGCAGAGCAGAGCCGCGGCCCCCCGGGCGCCCGCGGCCCGCCCCTGCCGCGGCCAGGAGGGCACGCCGGAGGGAGCGGCGCGGAAGGTCGAGGAGGCCCCGGGCAGCAGCGCGGGGCAGTGCGGTCGGAGCGGACACGGTCGGACCGAGGTATCGTCGGGGCCCTGAAGAAGGAACCCTTTTGGTTGGGGAGGGGCTCCGCGTTCCTTGAGTGTTTCACAGCTTGCCTCAGGTTTTCCTTTTGTATTCGATGGGAAATCGAAGTTTAACTTGTGGAGAAATGGGGCCTCGTTCCTTACTTAGGGTTCCTTAGGTCAACGCCCCGACTGTATGCGAGGCCTCGTAGATGGGGTCGGAGCAGAAGGGGTCGGAGGATCGCGCCGCATCGCCGATGCGCCGCCGGTGCGGCTCGATGTGGAGCCCGTGTTTCCCCACGCCGGCGTCGCCGATGCATCGCCGATGCATCGCCGACGTCGCCGATGCATCGCCGATGCATCGCCGATACATCGGCGATGCGCGATCCTTCGACCCCATCTACTCGGACCCCATCCAGGAGGCCTCTAGGTATGAGATCGAGGTCGGTTCGGGGAGGGGGCCCCAATGTTTTTCGCGTCTGTCGGTGCTGGAAGAAGTGGCACGGAGAGAGACCAGCAGCGGCGATTGCCCAGTTTGAAGAGGACTCGTTGTCGGCGTCGCCACGGACGCTCGTCCGTCGCCCGCCCAACATCGGTCGCTGTCGGTTTGGGACAACATTTGCTGTTGGGCATCGTACCTATGTTTCGTTACCTCTTTCGGGTGTGCCAAACGCTGTGGCTCCCTTTCCGGACCCCCTTGCGTCGCGGAAAAATCGCGACGGGAGGTGTTCAAATTGCTAGTGTTTGAATCTGCGGGCCATCGCCAGGCCCTGAGACCTTCAAAAAGCAACCCTTGATGGAAAACAGATACCGGGAAACGAGTCGAGAGTGGTGAAAGAGCATGACGTCGGGTCTCAGCATGCGGTTCCTTTCTGAGCTTGTTCGGCTTCTGAGCCCATCCTGGCCGCCGAACGGGCCCAGGATTGAGCCCGTTCGGCGGCCAAACGGGTTCAGTTCCCATCACGTCGTTGGAAGCGATCCCGTTCTACTGCGCGGTCGGCGACCGAACGGGTAAGACGCCGAATGGGAACTTTGGGCAGTCGAAGATCGAGGATCGAACTTCGGGCATCGAGGGTGGGCAGGACCGTCAGATCCAGACGTCGCCCAAGCATTGCGACGGTTGGTTTTTCTGCGCCTGGATCCTTTGTTTCTTGGCCCTGAGGCCGTCAAGTCAAGAAACGACAGTCGGGATGAGAGGCCAGCCTCAGGGAAGGGATCGAGATCCCCGAGGGGCTGGGTCCTGATGGAAAGGGGTTTGAGGTATTTCGTCGTTTGCCTCTTGTGGCCCTTGCTTGGCCCTGGGACCTCCAGAAGGCGACCCAGGATTTGGGAGAGCCCTGGGGGGCATGGAACCCTTTTTCTTCGTAGTTGTCGTCGTCGACGGTATCGTCTTCGGCATCGCGGTTGTCGGCGACAGTGTGTCGTCATTGCGTCGGCATAGACGGCGGCGTCTTCGTCTGCGACGGCGGCGCCTTCGGCGCTGGCGTCAGCGGCGGCGGCGGCGCTGGCGCTGGGCGCCAGGTGCTGTCGTTGGTCTGGTCACCTAGACATCGTTGTCTTCGTCCTCGTCCTTCTCGTCCTCTTCGTCGTGACTCTCCGTCGTGACCTTACTCGTCCCCATACTTCGGCGTTCACGAGGAATCACCCTCGCTATCCTCATCCCCGTCCCCTTTCTCCACGTGCTCCCTGACCCTCTTCTCATCGTCCTGAGCATTGGCCTCCTTCTCCTCTGCGTCTTCGTCAACTTCCCGCTCCGCCTCCTCATTCCTCCTTGTCCTGCGCCTTCTCTCGGTGGACGCCAGGTGCACTCCAACACTGATCCTGACTCGGCCAGGTCGATGGTTCAGGAGAGGAGCATGCGCTCTCCTGACCGGAGGTCCTTGGCCCAGGATGCGCCTGGCCAGGATCGGTCTTGGTTTCATAGCTGACGCTCCAACGCCGTGCTCTTCTTATCAGTATGCGCGGGCCCTGGAGCTCTCGACCCTTTTCATGGAGACCGAGGTTTCATCCCAGACCTCTTATGGCGATCTTGGGGCCCGACCATAGCTTTCAGAGGCCGAAGCATTGTGAAAGGCGTCCGCCCTGCATTGTCCAGGGCGTTGGAAAGCTGGACCATCCTCCTCAAAATGTTCCCCCGGGCATCTCCAGGGGTGCGTTCTGTCAAGAATTTGAGGCGGATCCAGCAGTTGCGACGAGGAGCACCCCGGAAGCCCAACAACAAAACGAACAACACGCAGCAAGTCCACGTCGACCTCCCACCCCATGACCTTGATATTGACCTCCCATTTCTCCTCCTCCACCTCCTCCTCCTCTTTTCGCCCTCCTCCTCCCCCTCCCCACAGCCTCGGAACACGGAGCACTGGACCCCTTTGGGTCTGTGGCCTTGCCGGGGGACGAGCGCCCGCACGTGGCGCGTGCGCGCCGCGAGGTTAGGCCAAGGGACGCAGTGGGGGGTCAGGAGCCTGCTTTCGGCTTTCAACTTTCCGCCTCCCCCTCCGCACGCTCAGCCCTCCTCGGCACCATCCTCCCCCCGCCTCCCCCGAAAGGCCCGCGCGGGCGCGACCTGCTCCCACATGTGGCCCTGGTGGGCCTGGGTTGTCCTGTTCCTGGCCGCGGCCTCGGTGGGAGGGCAGAGGGCCAGGGATGACCAGGGAGGAGGGAGGAGGAGGAGGAGGAGGAGGAGAAGGAGGAGGAGGAGAGGTAAGAGGAGGACCAGGCAGGAGGAGGGGTGGAGTGGGGGAATTGGCAAGGATGAGGAGGGGGACCAGGGAGGAGGATGAGAGGGAAGAGGAAGAGGAGAGTAGGGAGAAGAACTGGTAATTGGAATGGGGCCAATGACGCATATAGTCAGAATAAAGAAGTCATAAACTTCACGTGCCTGCGGACCAAAGCAACGGGGGGGATAAGAAGCGCACCTCCAGTACGATGCCCAGGCGAGTTGCCTCTCAGAGTCTCCTCGGATCTCTCTCGGAAGCTTTTTGGAGGCCTTTTGGAGCGTCTTGGAAGCCGCTTGGCGGTCCCGGGGGCCTCTTGGAGCATCTTGGGTGTTTCGGGGAGCCATTTGGGGCCTCTTGGGGGTCTCTTGGCAGCCTCTTGGAGGCCTCTTGAGCGCCTCTTGGGGCCTCCTGGGCGCCTCTTGGGGCCCTCTTGAGGCGCTCTTGGGAGCCTTGGGAGTGCTCGTGGGACCACCTTGGAGGAGATCGATCAAACAAGATGGGAGCTCAAATTTACCTTGCCCCCTCGAGAGCCCCAAACATCGTCTCTTGGGCCTCTCTTGGGGCGCTCTTGAGGCCGTCTTGGGGCTCTCTTGGGCCTCTCGTGGGCCTCTTGCCCTCAGAGGCCCTCTTGGAGTTGTCTTGAGGCCTCGGAAGGCCATTGGAAGCGAAAGGCGAGAAGACAAGAGTCAATGATTTTCCTTAGGTTGTTGAATGGGTTTGGCCTCCTGGGGAGGCTCCGTGGCCACTCGGAGCCGTTTCGGAGCGGTCTCGAGGCCTCTTGGGGCATCTTGGGAGCCATATTGAGCCATCTTGGGCTATCTTGAGCCATCTTGGAGGTCATCTCGGACTCTCTGAGGTCCCCTTGAGCCGTCTTGGGCCATCTTAGATGCTCTGACCGCTCGCGAACCCTCCCCTCCAGGTCCAGGGGATGGGGGTAGGGGGAGGGGTCAAACTACCCACCCGCCCGCAAGCCGTCTAGCTCACTCCCACCCGCCCTCTCAACACGTTGTCTTTGGATGGACAGCTACTGGGAACTAAAGCCGACCCCAAGTGCGCGACGCTTGGGCGAGGTGCGCCACGCGTGCCAGGGGCGCCACGCGCGCCAGGCACTCCTGGGGCCCGAGCGTGCCAGGCACGCCTGGTGCGCCAGATGTGCCACGTGCTCCGAGTGCGCCAGGTGTTTCGCACACTCCAGCCGCGCCAGGTGCGCCACGTTCGGGGCACGTGCACAGTGCGTCAGGTGCGCCTGCGCACATGACAGTACGCATCGGGAAACATGTCGGCCCCGCCATCCTTGTCGAAAACCAATGCCCACCATTGTGTCTGGTGGACCTGCGCACGGCAGGCCACGCGCTTCCACCCCCGCCGTCCCTGTCAAAACCATTCGACAGTGATCGCGGGATGGCCGCGCATGATCCAGATTTAGCCGCGAGGTGCATGCTGTGTTGTTTTTTGTCAGGGATGGTAGCCCTGCGCACTGCAGGGAATATGCTGGCACCCCCGCCGTCCCTTTCAAAAACAGTACAATGTGTTCGCGGGCCTCACGAGCATGATTCAAGGCTTTGCCCCAAACTGTACTTCACATTGTTTTTTGACAGGGGTGGTGGGGGGGGGGCGCATCAGGTTGGCCGCGCATGCTCCAAATGTGGAGGCAGATTGCGATTTGTATTGTTTTTGACAGGGATGGTGGGGAGGGGGCCCGCATGGTTCCTGGTTGGTTGCCAGTCGCTGGGGGAGGGGGTGCATATTAATATGGAGCTCCTCCCCGAAGGGGAAGAAGGGGGTTGGAAGAGGAGCTTGCCTAGACCACCTACGCCCAGAGGGCTGGTGGGATTAAGCCGCTCTGCCTGCACGCCAAGTCATGCATGAAGTGGGCTCGGGCAGAGCACAACGCAGTGTGAGACCTCGTACTCGCGGACACAAGCCGCGAACGCAGGAGCCAGAGCTTATTGGAGCAGCTGAGCATCGAATCAGAGGGAGACAACGCGCGCACTGCAAAGCAGGAGGCCAATGCAAGCGAGCGTGCCTATTGAAAAAAAGGCCATAGCCGCTCGTGGATTCGGATCCTGCACAGCTCCTAGGCGTGCCATAAGCAGGAAACGGACGAGAGAGAGAGAGCTACTAGAGTCTGTTTTTCGAGCCGCGTCAAACCTCAGATAACGACACGCCTCTCCCCGGCCGTGCCGCCCCAAACCACCCGAGGGGCACCATTCCCTCGGTCGACTCCACACCCCCACGCACGCCAGGGCGGGGCACCCTGGCCGTGGGAAGGATGGGCGCGCGACTCACAATGAGCCCCCGCAGGGGACCCGCCTCCCGCCCAGGCGCACGCGGTGTGCGTGCCGAGCCACCGCAAGGGGAGGCAAGGCGACGAGGGAGCGATTTTCGTTCCCCCTGGCCCCCAACGGGCAAACAGGGGTGACAAGCGGGCTGTTACCCGCTTGCTTTCCTTGGAAAGGGACCCAGTGGCGCAGATGCCTAGGGAGGAGAAGGAGGAGGAGGAGGACCTAGGGAGGAGGAGAGCGCGGAGGAGGGAGCGAGTATCGCGGCGAATGCGGTGACGACGATGATGGCGACGAGCACGAGGGACGAAGAGCAACACAGCAGCTGCAAGAGCAGCGACGGCGATGTGGGCGGCGAGGAGAGGAACAGAAGGACGAGCAAATACGACATCGAACGGACGAGGAACAGGCGAAGAAAAGGATGAGCAAATGCACATTCGGAAAGAGGAAACATCTTGGCAACAGAGTCGTGAGGCTGAGTGAGTGAGGTTGGCACGGACTCCCAGATGTCTTTTCCATGCATCGGCGAGCGACAGAGGACGTCAGGGAGCGACTGAAGTACCCTTTTATCGGCAATGGGAAGAGGAGAGGGAACCAAGAATGGTTAAGAGAAGGTGCGGGATCAAGAATACGGAAAGTGTGGAGGGACATCGAATCGAGGGAAGGGGGGAATGATGAAAAGGTGGGAAGGACGAGAACGGGGAGGAGGGCGAGGTGACGTTCCATGCGGAGTGTTGAGGGAGGTTCATGGTCGGTGGGAGTGCGGCGAGAAAGCGGGACGATGACAGCATCAGCAATAAGGCCGAGGGGGCGCCGATCTTCGCGACAAACCAAGGTATTGCTCTGCTGCTCGGGCGTCCTCTGCGTGGCGTCGGGCATGATCAGGACCAAGAGGACGCCCACGCCTCGCGGCGGCCGCCTCCTCCGGCCCCGCTCTTCGCCGCGTTCGGTGACAGTGGCGTTGCAGGTGACGCTGGTGTTGCTGCGTTTGGTGTTGCTGTTTGTTGTCGTTGTGGTCATAATGATGCTGCTGGTTGCGCTTGTGCTGTGTCGCGTAGTGTTGCTGCTCCATTCCCCCTCGTGGTCGTCATACTGGTGCTGCTAGTGTCGCTGGTACTGGTGCGCGTGGTGGTGGTGCTGTTTGCTGCGTGTTGGTCAGAGAGGCACTGCTGGAGTCGCTGTTGTGGTTTGCGCTACTATTTCTGCTGTTATCGGCTTTGGTGTTGCTGCTGCTGCGCATGGTGCTGCTGTTTCTGGCGCTGCTCGTCTCAGTGGCGCTGCGGGTTGCGCTAGAGCCAGTACGCTTGTTCAGTGGGACACTTGGCCCACGATTGCGACGGATGCTCTCGCCTTCCAATGGCCACATTCACTAGATCGACTTTGTGTTGGCCTTAACCCAGACCGCATCCATGGTTGGCAGCGCAGGCCGCATCCATGATTGCGAATTTTGCTTTCGCATCTTCGCCAGCCACGTCAATGATTGCGACCGTTGCTCCCGCTCCAGTGCCGGCCACATCCGTTATTGCGAGCGTCAGTCGCCTCAGCGCCAGCCACATCCACGACTACGACGACTGCTGTCGCCACAGCGCCAGTCAGATGCATGATTGCGAACGTTGCTCTCGCCTTAACGCTGGCCACATCCATGATTGCGAGTGTTGCTGTCGCCTTGGCGCTGGCAACATCCACGATTGCGAATGTTGCTCTCGCTTCAGCGCCGGCTACATCCACGATTGCGAAAGTTGTTCTCGCCTTAGCGCCGGCCACATCTATGATTACAAATGTTGCTGTCGCTCCAGCGCCGGCCACACCCACGACTACGAAAATTACTCTCGCCTTAGCGCCAGCCACATTCACGATTGCGTAAGTTGCTCTCGCCCTAGCGCCGGCCACATCCATGATTGAGACTGTTGCTCTCGCCACAGCGCCAGCCACATCTATGATTGCGAAAGCTGCTCTCGCTGCAGCGCCGGCAAATTCTTCATTGGAAGCGAAGAGGGATTAGTGATGAAGTTGACACTTGTGCATTGCATGTTGCTGTGTGGCCCCATCCTGGTGTATCATTTGCTACAGCGCGCGGGCGTGACACACTGGTGTCGCCGAGCTGTTGGCCACGTTACCTTTAATCGGTCAAGTTAGTTTTGGCGCAGTGTCGACAGGGCCTGGGTCAGGCTAGGGTAGGGATTGGCTACTTTAGGTGGGGGTGTACAACTTCCAAGGAGGCCGTCTCGGCACCGGTAATGATGCGCCTGTTTCGTGAGGCAGCGATACAGCGGTGATTATGCGCAGTAAAGCGATGCAGCGATAATGAGCGCATCTCTCATACACCAGAACTCCAGCCCTGGGGGCAGCGGGGCCCCAGCACACCAGAAGCACCCAGACAACATTAAGTTCACAGGCCCCAGAAATCCCAGATAAAAGATGCCCCCCGAAAGGATTTGATGGATTACTTGTTGCAGTTTCTGGTTTGTTTTGTCTTCTTGACAGGGGCAGGGTTCGCCCATTTCAGGCCCTGGCGGGATACGAGACACCGCACATCGGCAGCTACCCCTTTGGGTGGGACATCAGCGCTGCGGTATACCTCCCTGGATTTTGGGCAGGTCGGCCACTCCATGCACACACTTGTTTCCCTCTGCCTCCCTTTCTCCTCCACCTGATGCTTGCTCTCCTCTTTCTGAATTCCTTTACATGTCGCACTTGTGTGCTGTTCTCTGCACTCCGTTTTGTAGGTCTCCAACTATTTTCAGAGATGCATCGCGCGCAACACTGGCTGCGCTTGTGTGACGCGGTGCCGCCTACCAGCGTCGTTAGATTATGGCCTCGATGTGATGGAGTAGTCGGCAGAATGACTGCTCTCAGTACCGTCGTTGCCGGTTCCCGCGTGATGTTGGCGATTCGCTTTTGCAGGCCAGCCCCCTAGAAAAAATAAAAAGACGTCATCCATGAAACGCCACGACGGCCCAATTGAGCTTCCCGAGTTCACGAGGACTTCTAAGCGGCTCCGAACAGGCAAATATCAGGAACATGTGTTCTATAGTTTCAGCATGTTCGCCTTTTCGGTGTGACAGAGCGCCCAAGACGGCCCCAGAAATCCCAAATCAAGTGCATCACACATCCCTGAGCCGCTCCACGAGGGCCACGATACGCCACCGAGTGCGGGGGGCCCGATCTGCCTCACTGGGCGTTGAGTGAACTTGGTGGAGTCCTGACAGACAAGCCGTTTGAGGAAAAACATCGAAACATGCCAGAATTTCCCGACGAGAACAAGATCTACTCATTGAAAAGCCTCTGGCCCCATTGCCAGGGACGAGGCGTGGAATCAGTGCACAAGCAGTGCGCACCCGTGCATACCGCAAGGTCGCGCTTCGACGAGCAGAAGTAGGAGCAATGGACACCGCCAGGAGCTCCCGACGAACAAGGAACTCGATCCCCCAACAGAGCCGCTCGCCCCATTACCAGGGACGAGGCGCGGAAGCAGTGCAAACGCAGCGCCCACCCCTGTGCACACCGAAAAGTCGCGCCTCCGAGAGCCAACGCAGAAGCAAAAGTATTCGACACCGCCAAGAGCTCCCAACGGTCAGAAGTCGGCAATCGACGTCCGATTCATATCCTTGTTGCTGCCCCCCACTCTGGGCGCCAGGTGCAGCAGGGCATGTGCAAATGTAAGTGGCCTCGGAGGCCAGGATCTTGTCCGATTCCCCGCTCTGGCCCCTTGTGGGGTCGGGGCGTGCGCAGGGGCAAGGATCAGACGTCGATCGCCAGAAAAGTCTGGATCCCCCACCGTCCTCCGCTCCCACCGCCCGCCCCCCCGTGCTCGCCGCGCGCGCGCCCCCTCTTCACCCCGCCCCGCGCGCGCGCACGGCTCCCGCAGGGTCAAGGGCGACGCGGCGGCCGCGAGGCGGCCACGCGACCCTCTGCCCCCGCGCGCGCGTGGCCCGCTTCGCGCGGGGGCTCCCGGCCGTGTGTCGGGGTCAGGACAGGGAGGCTGGTCAGCGCTCGGGCTCGGCCGAGTCCTTCCAGGCGGCAGCCGAAGAAGAAAACACCTGCACAGGTCCTCGCGGGCTTCTGCGGTCGGCGCCTCGGCCCCCCTGGCGGCGCCTCTGGCGCCGTCCCTGGCGCGCTCCGCGCGCTGGGGAGGAGTCCAGCGCAGATGCGAGACACCCGCGCGGACCTCCAAAAGATGCCACGTGTGACTTCTCGATGCTCGGGTCATGCCTGGGAGGCCCGAGCACTGACCCGATAAGGTGTGGCCTTGAGGCGGCAGTTCCGCTGCCGATTGGTCGGTTCTGTCTCCGCGAGCGTTCTCATCGCCCTGGCCCGCTGGGGAAGGTCCAGCTGCGTCGCTCTGCGGGGTCCAGGGCCCAGACACAGGAGCATCGAAGATCGAGGAGAGGGATCCAGGAGCATCGAAGATCTAGTTGTTGTTGAACGCTTCCCGTCGCCGCGGCTGGATTCCTTGTGCAGTTCTGGTCCAATGGCATCCCTGCAGAGGTCGGGGGGGACTGTCAAGGGGGGGCCCATACCCCCAACGCATCAACTAGCAAGCCAACGGCGTTTGGCGTTGTTCGCCGTTTCTGGCCTCTGGGGCCCGCACACACGAAGAAGCATCACACCCGGGGGTCTGACAGGTGCGAGGATCAGGGTCGTCGGGTTCTGTTGTGTCTGCAGGCCCTCCTGGGCCTCCCCAGGCGCCCTCGTGGCCACGGCCAGAGCCGCCTCGAAGCCCGGGCAGGGCAGCAGGGGTCGACCTCGAGCAGGCGGACCGAGGCTTCCCAGCACCGTTCGGAGAAGAGCGCCTTCGATAGCGAACACTCTTGGAGCTCCGCGCGCCAGGGGGGGAGCCGGGGCGCCGATCCAGGAGGTCTGCAGTTGCTTTTGGCCCTCATCGCCACAGGAGCGAGGGCTGGCGTGCTGCTCCGGTCTCGGCATTCGGAGGCTCGTCTGCGGCTCCAGGTGGGCCCTCGAGCAACAAAAAATCCCCGGCCGAGCAAAGGACAGTCCCCGCGGTGAAGTCGAGAGCTCCAAGGGCCCGCGCCGTGCAAAGGATGTTTGGGCTGAGCAGTTCCAGTTGGGGCCCGCGTGGGATTCACAAGGAATGGCCACAACCGCTCGCTAGGAGGTCACCGCAGGCTAGCCTGGACTACAAAAGGCGTAGAAGCGGCGCGCCCAGGGACCTACGGCAGGCCACGCCTATCCCCATCCTTCCGATCCAATGCCCCTCTCGTCCCCATTCTCCTTTTTCTCCTCCGCCTCCTCCTAGCTCCATCTTCTATTCCTACCCACTCCTCATCCTTCTCCTCTTCTCCTCTTCTCCTCCATCCTTCCCCCCCCCCCCTCCGCGTCCCCTTCCTCCGCCTCGTTGTTCCCCCTTCCTGTCTTCCCCTGCTCATCCTCATGGCCCAGTCTTATGTCCCTCCTCGCACTTAGGGAGACATCTAGGATTCTATCATATAGGCCCTCCTCAGGGGACCCTTGTGGCTTCCATACGGTGTCCTCGCGTGTTTGTGATTTGATTTACGCACGGGTGCAACATTGTTTAGCATTGCCCGTTGCGTCAAGTGTTTATTTAGTTAGAAGGGTGATGACATGTCATGCGTTTTGATATTCAAAAGATGAGCTTTGGGGAAGTTACTGGAAGGCGTCGTCGGTGAGTCAAAGCGGGCTTTGCTGTTGGGATGGCTAAATTCAGAGGGCCGCTTCGAGTGGTAGTGGTGCCGTTGCTTCTCCAGCGGAACGCTGCTGCGGGGTTCAATATCTTGCGTCCTTGTCGACCTTTCGTTGCTGAGATCCCTCGGTGTCCTGCGCATGAGCTTTGGCAAGCTGGCTGTTTCTTCAAATTCCATTATTTCGCGTGCGCGCTGGGGGTACTGCATTGGGTCCTCGGCTCAGGTGGGAGTTTTGTAATACGTGTGAGGAGGCGACGTTACGACGATTGCTATCGAAGACGTCTACTTTGAATCACCGTCCCGCCCCCCGTTGCCTTTTGGAAGCGCCTGTGTGGCCGAGCTTTGCGGCCAGAGCTCCGCGAAGCTATCGGAGTATGTGGTTCCCCCGCCGTTGTCGAAAGCCTGCGGGGAACACGTGGGGGAGAAAGAACAAGAGGCGGAGAGAAAGGAAGAAGAAGAAGGAGGAGAAGGCTCCTTGGGTCACTCTCGATGCCTCTTGGAAGCTTCATGGGGGCCTCTGGGAGCCCTCTTAGGGGCTTCCTTAGGCCTCTTGGGAGCCTTTGGAGGCGCCTTGGGAGCTCCGTTAGCCGACTGCGGGCGCTCCTGGCCCGTCTACCGCCGTCGGGGCCGACTTGGGGCCCCCTTGGGGCGCTTCAGGGCCGTCTCGGAGACCATCTTGGACGCCTTGGAGGTCTCCTTGGCCGTCTTGGGGCCCTCTTGGGGCGCCGTGTTGGGGACCGCCTTGGGCCGTCAGGGAGCCCTCTCGGAGGCCTCTTGAGCGCTCTTGGGGCCATCCTGGTGGCCTGCGGGGCCGGCACAGGCGGCCGCACCATTAGCCGAAATGAGCAATCGCCCAAATCGCCCAAATCGCCCAATACGTGAAGGCATCTTGACAACTTCAGATGTCATACGGTATCCACGTCCTGGCTGGGGGAGTATTGGCTTCATTCCCTTTCGAGAGACGAGGGCCATCTTTGGGGCATCTCGGCCCGTCGTAAAACCTTATTGGAGCCATCTTTGGTTCTCTTGGGGCCATCGTTGCCGTCTTGGAGACCATCGTGACCGTCTTGGAGGCTCTCTTGTGGTCGTCTGGAGCGGGAAGACCAACGACCTGGGAATATCATGGGGCCTCGTGGAGGCGAGTTTTTCAAGTTTTCACACAGTTCCGCGTCCTTGCACTTCCTTCTGGGTGGCTGGCGGCTTAAGCCGAAGACCCACGTGTGGTTATGCTGTTGGTTTAGCTGGACACTATTCGAATTACATTAATTTTCTCACACCGTATTCTCACAGTGGGTTTGTGACCAAAGCTGCTATGGGTGCAGGCAATTGGGTGCGCCATCCGATCATTTGTATTAATATCGGATTATGATTATAATTATAATTGTTCTTGGCGTTGGTTTGGATTGAGTCGGAATTGCACGAATGCCGAACCACAACAATGATTGTTGTCAGTCTTGGTTCCGGTCCAGGTCGTGTCGCATTCTCGAGTCCGCTCAGAATCATGCGACCAGACCAGAACCGTGACAAGGACCGGTCCTGGTCACAGTTGCGGGTCGGGATGCGTTAATGTCGTCACAATGTCACCAATGCCAACGCCTAACATTTTATGGAATAACGATGGGTTTTGCTTATTGGAGCTGTCTTGGGAGGCCTCTCCGAAGCCTCTTTGGGCGTCTTGCGCGTTTTTCCCCCAACTGGAGGCCATCTTGCGCGACTCGGACCGATTGATTGGCGATTCGTGGCCCTCTTGGACCGCCTTGGAGGCATCTCGGGACCCCTTTGGCCCGCCCAGGGCCTTCGCGTCCCAAAAAAGCAAGGCGGAATGACGCCCCGTGCCCCAGGGGGCACGCGGGGATCCCCAAGAGATTTGGCAAATTAGGATGTGAGCCCCTCAAAGAATCGTCAGGGTTGACGAATGCGGCCCCTGGGACCCTACAGGGTACCCGAGGACACTGCAACTCGTGCCTCAAGAGCACTGTGGCGGATAAGATTATCAATGCCAATCGACCCAAACCAGAGTTGTGACCAGGACCAGTCTTGGTCGCAGTTGTGGTTCGGGTTGTATTTAGTATTAACGCTAATCGACCCAAATCAGAACCGTGACCAGAACCAGTCCTGGTCACAGTTGTGGCTCGGTTTACTTGAATCTCGAAGACGCCTACGGCGAATCACCGCCGCCCCCTGCCTTTCTGGAAACGCCTATGTGGCCGAACGTTGTGGCCAGAGGCCTGTCAAGCTATCGGACCATGTGTTCCCCGAATCGGTTTGGAAAGCTGGGCCGACTTGGGCCTTTCTTGGGGTGCTCCAGGGCCGTCTTGGAGGCCATCTTAAGCGTCTTGGAGGCCTCTTGGGCCGTCTTGGGGGCCTCTTGGGGCCGTCTCGGGGGCCTCCTGGGCCGTTCTGGGGCCATACTGGAGACTTCTTCGGCGATCTTTGGCGGCTCTCGGGCGGTCTGAAGGCCGAAAATCCTTCGAAACCTCTTGGGAGATCAATGATTTTGGCCTTTTCTGGCCTACCTGGAGGCCCTCTTGGAGGCCGTCTTGGGCCATCTTAGGGCCATCTTCGGCCGTCTTGGTGGGAGGCCTCCCTGGGCCGACTTGGGGCCTTCTTGGAATGCTCCAGGGCCGTATTAGAGGCAATCATGGGCGTTTTGGAAACCTCTTGGCCCGTCTTGGGGCCCTATTGGGGCCGTCTTGGGGGCCTCTAGGGCCGTTCTGGGGCCATCTGTGAGGCCTCTTGGGCGATCTTGGGGCGATCTTTGGGGGCTCTTGGGCCGTCTCGGGCCGTCGGGAGGCCGAAAAGAAGTACATTCCAAAATCCTTGAAAAACCTAAGGATAACCAATGATTCTGGCCTTTTCGAGCCCTCCTGGGGGCCCTCTTGGAGGCCCCTTGGGCCGTCTTGGGCCGTCTTGGGCCATCTTAGGGCCATCTTCGGCCGTCTTGGTGGGCTCCTGGCCCGTCTGACGCCGTCGGAAGTCGTTTGGGGGGCCTCCCTGGGCCGACTTGGGGCCTTCTTGGAATGCTCCAGGGCCGTATTAGAGGCCATCATGGGCGTCTTGGAGGCCTCTTGTGCCCGTCTTGGGGCCGTTTTGGGGGCCTCTTGGGCCGTCATGGGGCCATCTTGGAGGCCTCGTGGTTGCTCATGGGGCGATCTTGGGGGCCTCTTGGGCCGTCTTGAGCCGTAGGAAGGCCGAAAAGAAGCAAATGCCAAAATCATGAAAACAAAAAAAAAAAAAAAAAAAAAAAACGTAGGAAAGTCAATGATTTTTGCCTTTTCGGGCCCTCCTTGAGGAACTCTTGGAGGCCTCTTGGGTCGTCTTGGGCCGTCTTGGAGGCCTCTTGGGCGAACTTGGAGGTATCTTGGACTCTCTTGGGCCATCTTGGGGGCCATCTTGGGCGGCCTTGCAGGCCATCTTGGAGGCCATCTTGGGCCAGCGTGGCCATCTTGGAGGCCATCTTGGAGAATTTGTTTCCAGATTGAGGTCCTTGGCAATCTTTCCGGGTGGCCGGCGGGACGGGCAGAAGCCCCAGGGGGAGTTTGTTTTTCTTTTTATCTGGAATAATATTATATATATATATATATATATATATATATATATATATATATATAAAAAAAAAAAAAAAAAAAAAAAAAAAAAAAAAAAAAAAAAAAAAAAAAAAAAAAAAAAAAAAAAAAAACGAGGGGGGTCAGCACGCCAGGCACCCCTGCGATGAATCGACAGGCGGCGGCGGATCTTAGACGCGTACGGCAAATCACGGCCGACCCTTGCCTTTTTGGCAGCGCCTATGTGGCCGAACGTTGAGGCCAGATCTGCCAAGCTATTGGACAATGTGTTCCCCGAATCGGTTTGGAAAGCCTTCGGGGAACATGTGGGCATCTTGAAGGTCCTCTTGGCCGTCTGGAGGCCATTTTGACCCGTTCGGGCCTTCTTGGGGGACGTCTTGGAGGGCTCTTGGGTCGTCTTCGAGGCCATCTTGAGCGTCTTGGAGGCCTCTTGGGCCGTCTTGGGGGCCTCTTGGGGCCGTCTTGGGTCTCTTGGGCGATCTTGGGTGGCTCGACGGCCGTCTCGGGCCGTCTGAAGGCCCAACAAAAACAAATGCCACAATCCTTCAACAACTCTTGGGAGATCAATGATTTTGGCTTTTGCGGGCCTTCCTTCCTGGAGGCCCTCTTGGAGGCCTCTTGGGCCGTCTTGGGCCATCTTAGGGCCATCTTCGGCCGTCTTGGTGGGCTCCTGACCCGTCTGACGCCGTCGGAAGCCGTTTGTGGGGCCTCTCTGGGCCGACTTGGGGCCCTCTTGGATTGCTCCAGGGCCGTTTGGGAGGCCATCTTGGGCGTCTTAAAGGCCTCCTGGGCCGTTTTGGGGACCTCTTGGGGCCGTCTTGCGGGCCTCTTGGGCCGTTCTTGGGCCATTTTGGAGGCATCTTGGGCGATCTTTGGGGGCTCTTGGGCCGTCTCGGTCCGTCGGAAGGCCGAAAAGAAGCAACGATCCAAGTCCTTTAAAAACCTAAGGAACATACTTGTGTTTGACCTTTTCTGGCTTTCCTGGAGGCCCTCTTGGAGGCCTCTTGGGCCGTCTTGGGCTAGCCTAGAGCCAACTTCGGCCATCTTGGTGGGTTCCTGGCACGTCTGACGCCGTCGGGAGCCGTCTTGGGGGCCTCTCTGAACCGACTCGGGGTCCTCTTGGGGCGCTTCGGGGCCGTCTTGGAGGCCATATTGGGCGTCTTGGAGGTCTCTTGGGCCGTCTTGGGGCCCTCTTGTGGCCGTCTTGTAGGCCTCTTGGGCCGTCATGGGGTCCCCTTGGAGGCCTCGTGGGCGATCTTGGGGCGATCTTGGCGGCCTCTTGGGCCGTCTTCAGCCCTCGGAATGCCGAGAAGAGGCAAATGCAAAAATCATTCAAAAAACTAAGGAATATTCTATGATGTTTGAAGGGTGCCGGGGGCCGCCGTGCCTCCGTGCCCCTTGAGGTGTTCGAGCGGGGCCACACGCGGAGAGAGAGAGAGAGAGAGAGAGAGAACCCCGTGTGGCAGTCGCAAAAATAAAGGCTTAGGCATAATTTGCTGACGGTCCGCGCGAATCTTTTGGACCTCCCTGACGCGCGGAGCGCGCCAGGGGCGGCGCCACGGCCGCAGATCCAAGAGATCCGCGCGGACCGTCAAAAGTTTCTGCTGGTGCCGTCTTTTGTTTCTCCAGTAAGTCTCCGATCCCGCCAGGGGCCTCGACTACGAGCAGGGCGACGACTCGCGGAGGGAGCAGCTCGCCTACGACCCGGAAGGGTACGGGCAGCAGAAGCAGGACGCGTTTTCCCGCTCCCGCGCTCGAACCTGGAGAACGAGGGGTGAGGTGGAGGGGGAGGCGGTGACACAGACGTCAGCGGGTCCACTGCTCGACGCGCGCGGGCGTTTCGCAGGCCACCTGATAGCATGACGTAGCACAAAGAGAAAGGAGGAGGGAGCCTTCGAGACTGCACCTGGGCAATCAGGCCGACCAGTCTATACATGGGCCGTTCCACCGCTGGTGGTGGCTGAGGTGTTGCGTGGATATCTGCGCTGGAACTATGAAATTGATGGAGAACGGAGGAGGGGTGAGGAGGAGGAGGAGGAGGAGGAGGTGGAGAAAGAGGAGGAGAAGCAGGAGCAGGTGCAGGAAGAAGGCAGGAAGAGGACGAGGAGAGGAGCAGGAGGAGGTGCGCCTCTCTCTCTCTCTCTCTATATCTCTGTCTCTGTCTCTCTCTCTCTCTCTCCCTCTCTTTCTCTTTTTTTCTTTCTTTCTCTCTTGCTTTTACTCCGCGCGCCCCGCGCTGTCGGCTTTGGCGGGGTGGCAGTGCGGAGGCGGGGGCCTATCTGCTTCTTCTCACTGGAGATGGGAGGAAGGGGGGGGGCACGATCCGAGCAGTGAGGAAGAGGTCGACGAGGAGGGACGAAGAGTTGGAGAAGGCCGGAGGAGGGAGAGGAGGGATGAAGAGTCGGACGAGGAGGAGGAGGAGGAGGAGGAGGAGGGGGAGGAGGAGGAGGAGTAGGAGGAGGAGGGAGGAGGGAGGAGGGAGAAGGACGCGTTCGCGAGTGCTCGAGTTTGCATGCAGCTCTCCGCTGCGTGCGACAAAGATCAAGGGGGCGCCCAAACGCATGAGTGTGCATCGGGTCGGTTTCAGTGGCGGTCTGTTTTTCCTATCACATCCGCGGAGCCCTTGTCGCGTACCTATGTGGGGGTGGCGTGTGCTTGTGGTGGCTGCAAACGTAACCCTTCGTCCGACAATTGGTGCTACCACTGCGGCGTGGAGTTTCCACGTGTGCAGGAAAGAAACCCACCACCCCCATTCCGAGTCTGGCGTCGTAAACCTGGTTTACGTTCAGTTGGCGATGGAGGCGAACGAGACACAAGGAAAGCCGGAAAAGGTGGCAAAGGTGGACGCGGTGAAGGACCGAGAGGATTGAAGGATCTGGGAAAAGAGGGCAGGATCACCCAACTTGTCGAGATATGGCGCTCGAGATGACAATGAATTTCACCTCGCCATCCAGATCTCATGGGGCCCCAACAATCCATTCCCCCCCGAAAGTGGCCCAGACGCTGGTACTGAATGGGGGACACAGGAGGAGGCCACGAAACCCTCAACCCCAGCAAGTAAATTACTCCATCCAGCTAATCAGGACATCCGCAAAAAAACAGGCAAAGATCACGCGGGTCAGACATCACCGGGACGACCGTTCACGACAGATTGGGGAGCTCCAGGAAGAGGTTATCCAAGCTGCGAACCAACTCGAGCAGGCCGAGGGAGGGCTCGCCGAGCTTAAGCGCACACGCGAGAGCTGGCCCCAGCCTCGTCGCCGCCGCAGGAGCTCATCGACCCGATCCGCGAGGCCATTGCCTCTTGGGAACATTTGGCCCCTCACATCCCCAACGAGCAGGCAAAGGCCGTCCTGAAATCTCAGCTCCAGCTGGTTAAGAATATCATCTCGCCTTCAGCCCCCTTTCCTGCGGATTCAGCAGCACTTCCCACTGGCAGGCAGCAGCAGCATCCGGTACCACGGGTGTGGATGAGGAGGAGCTCTTGGGGGCTTTCCGTGTGCCCGGTGCTTCAGAAGGTGGGATACGTGCCCTTTCCGATGTTGTTCGCACCACCAAGCGAGCCAGGTATGAGGCAACAGCTTCACTTGCACCCACCCCATCGACCAGCAGTGGAGAATAATCCAGAACAGAAAGGCAGCGCGTACGCGTCCAGCATGTAGCTTCCAGACCGTCACATACAATAGCAGCTGGTGGTGGACAGCAGTGCGCTTTGCGAGAAATGCGATGGTCCAGATCGTCCCCACTTAGGAACTCTAGTTGACACCCATCAGGGTTGCCATAGCTGGTGGGGGAGGCGTCCCAGTTTCAGAAGCCAGAACAGCGCACGCGATAGCTGATGCATCCTGATCCGCAATTGTTTATACGCTTGGCCACTCGAGGAACACTCACGATAGACGGACATCAGACGCACTGCTGTCTCTCACCCTCCAAACTTGGCAGGTTTCGCGTCTACTCTGTACATTTGCAGAACAGCGTTAGCGGAGCAAACAGAAACATCGTCCTGACCCTTGGCAAGCACATCCTTGGCCGTGGAACACCGTGCGCAGCAGGACGGGGTTGCAGCATGGAGCCAGGTATATTGAGATGGGGCATACGGATGGACATCGTTCAGGGGGCGCTCAGGTTTGACCCAACCACGCCGTCACACACGCACACACACGTACATATGTATATGTATATATAAATATAGATACAAACACATGGGGGGACAAGGGTCCATCAACATCGGCTATTGCCTGGCGTGGCGAGCCCAAGATGCACTAACAGATGATGCGGGTGTAGAAGCTGATAATGTGGTAAAACCAGGACCCATCGACGCAGCTTCGGTGAGCGACTCCGAACATTTAGGTCCACGCCCGAGTTCGACATGCCAGCTTTCATACACCGCCAGGCATCGGTCCGTCCCTGGAGCCCCCCGACCACGCGAAGATTAGCACCCAGCCCGACGAGCGCATCGCACAACACTCGGATGGGCAGGGAGACGCCAGCAGCGCCGTCGGTCAGCAACGGCAGAGGGGGCAGCGAACCCCCGACAACATCTACGCGGAGTTGGTTTCTCAAGCATGGGTAGGGCTCCAGTGGGCAGCCCAGACATTGCCCTATTCAAAAGAGACCCCGGGAGGCGCCCCTTATGAGGGCCACCAAGATACCCCCCGAGCACAGCCCGGCTACTGAAGAAAGCAGTTGGCTTGTTGCACTGGATGTTCTCAAGACATCAATTGCCGAGGTTCTTCCGTCAATTGGTTGCCTCCACGGGGTCATCTCGAGCTTGCGATTGGAATTGCTATGTGTATATATATACATAGCGACATGATCCCCGCGGCCGCACCATCGCGGAGGGCCCCGTCCGCGGGCATCCTTGCCTGGCAGACCCGGAGAGGCAGCGCATGTTAGGGTCTCGTATCAAGCGCACTGTCAGTGACGGCGAGGTTCCCGATGCTCAACTGAAGGCAGAAGCTCCGGCGCGAATTGATATTCCGGCGTTGGCGGAGAGGCGGCGCGTTAGTTCTGCGACGCAGAAGCAGCGCGAAGGTGCTCTTGAAGGCGGGAGAGGGGGGACACACGCGCGCGAGAGCAGGCGAAACCATCGCAGCCTCATGGGACCGAATTCTTGAAAAGCAGCAGGCGCGACGGGAGGGCGCGCGGGCCGCGGAGGACAAGGCAAGCCCAGTCGCGGAGACGCGGGTTGTTGCGCCACCGACAGTGACTTCGGAGCACTTGACGCGAGTCTCACCCAAGTTCAAAGTTTTGAACACTAGCAGCTGGTGGCTTACACCCTCGCTATTTGACTCGTTTATGTGGTTCGACTTCGACGGCCACCACTAGGATTCTGACAATCACGAATGCGGCTTCGACCGCGTCAAGCAATAGGTAGCAAGTAAGTCGTCAACTTTATCAGAAGCCTGAGTCTGGACGACGACCGGTCGGATCACTCGCCAGCACTGCGCGACCACATGGCGCGACGACGGCAGGGGGGTCGAAGCAGCGGGAACATGCGGGGTGGTACTATATTGCTGTCAGCATGGCGCCACGGAGAGGACATCAACACGCAGCGAGGAGAAAGGCCACGCGCGGAGAGACACTGGCACGCGATTGATACCACCAGTTGTCAATACTCCATGTTACCCAATACTTCATAAACAAGATTGCGTTTGTCAATACTCCACGATACCGAACACTTCTTAAACGAGATCATGTCTGTCATAGGCAGTTGCGGGCCACGGCCTTCGGGGCGCAGTACCTGCAGTCCGTGATTCCGCTTTCCTCGAACACGCGCAAGTGGTTGGATCAGCGTTGGACCCGACCTTCGCCGGCAGAGATCATTGCATGGACCGGCTCAGCATTTTATGAGGTACGTCTGTTTGTCGCACCGGCTATCAACGCGCGGCGTGAAGGACCCTCTGAAGACAGATGAGAATATGCTGGACTTGGCGCGCCCCACGGTGCACGTCGACGGCCGCGGGCTGACCGCGGCGCCACTTGGCGGTTATGCTCGTTTACCAGCCACGCGCGATGGAGCGACGTGCTCGGCGCGATTTGTTGACCTGGTTATTGGAGCACCGCTTGCACGTGAAAATATGTTGCGCGGGCTCTCCCAATGCAATTGTTGTTGCACGCGTTGCGTCTTCGGGCACTTAGGCCGGTTGGCATGAGATCCCAGTTCGGAGCTTCGGCGTGGACAATGCGCCGGGGCGACGTAGACTGTGGCCAGGACGTGGCAAAGTACGCAAGGGACGGGAGACCATCACATTTCGGCCCAAGAGACCGCGAAACACCAGACGACCTAGACATTTTCGGTTTCGCATTTCTGCCCCGGGCACCTAGGCATCAGCAGGTGGAACGATTGGTCGGCCACCTGCTGAATGAATGCCTTGCGACAAGCAGGAGCTCGCGCCCTTGAGGTAGGCGGGCCTTCAGACAGCGGTGGGGCTCTGTATCCTGCGAAGGACCCCCTGAGCAAAGCAGTTGAAACCTTCCGGCGCCATGCTAGAAAAATGCGGCAACTATGAAAAGCCAGATTTTCCCCGGCAGATGGCCGCAGCGCGCAGGAGCCGAAGCGCGCGCCCCAGCCCGCGCAAGAGCATCTGGAGGGGATACTGGCACCATCTCCTCGCGCGCGCGAGGTCTCGGGGCCCCCGTCAGAGAGGCGTTCGCAGCCACGAGAAGCAGGCTCGGAGCATGTCCATCCAGCAGTACGCGCGGGCGCTGGTGGCACCCGTCATCATCTGACCGCCACGCCCCCAGCCGCCGCAGCCACAGCTGCGTTGGAAGATGACAGATGTCATTCATCAGACCGACGATTTCCCGCGCGCGTTCGGAGGCCCAAGATGCTCGCGCCCAGGGGATACGCCAAAGAAGCCTCTGGCCCCCGGGCCCGCGCTGGCCGCTTGCCAGGAAATCCCCCCCCCCGAGAATTGCACGCGCATTCTCGAGCAGGCTCTCGCAGGCCCATGCCGAGCGGGCCTGACCTTGAAACGCCGGGGCTACGAAACAGTTGGTCTGCGTTTCAAGCGCGGCGCCTCTGATTCGATTTTCACGGGGCCCGAGAAGGTTTCTGGGTCAAGGCTGACAGAGAGGGCCAACACGAAGGGATTCCAGCAATGGCGCTCATCCGCGGGCCCGCTGGCCCCCTTTTTCCTCCTTTCCGCGGATGCCCCCCCCCCCCGTCGCCAGCAGGCCTGCGGATGAGCCAGGGCCTTCTGTCTTCGATGCGAATGGCCTTATCAAGCCATTCAGACTTCGAGGAGACAACGTCAGACATTATGGTGACGGTTCGCCTTTTGACGGCGCTATACATGCGCCGAACGAGCGGGCCGGGCAATTGCGGAGCGCTCCGAGCCCCAGACGGGGCGCCCCAGACGGCCGCGGCGGCGGAGCACCACGCCGCCCGCGCGTCCGAGGCGCACCCGGCAAGCTCGGACTCGGACCCCAGCGCCCAGCAGGGGCAATGCTTGGGCAGATCACGCCGCCAATCAGGCAGCAGGGGCCAGCGACGTGCGCCCCAGACCAAGGCTTCAAGAGAAGCCCAGGCGCTGTATATGCGAGTTGCCCATCGTATGTGTCAAAACTTGATGTCACGCCCCCGCTTCGAGAGCTTCTCCGGGCTTTGCCGAGGCTCGCTCGGACTGCCGCACACCCCCGCGCCCCAATTCTTCATGGCCTAGTTTGGGGCAGGATTGGAGGAGTTAGGTGGGGCAAGCGGTGTCTTCGCCGAGGTCCTAAGTTGCTCGCGGACTTCAGATGCGCGTCGTTCCGACGTCGCTGTCTGGTTCGATTCAGAAAGCTTCAGAAGCGGCCTTCCCGCGCCAACTGTGGGTTTCCATGCATCATGGCACGGAGTTGCCGCCCGCTTGTTCGTGCGATCTGCAGCTACATGGCAGGTGGTCGAGCCAAGGCTCGCGCCTGCCTTGCGCCTCCTCTTTCATGGATTTGTCGAAGATCCGGCGGTGCATATTTCATTGCGGTTCTGGAGATAAGCCCCCCCTTCCCATAGCCAGTCAAGTATGGTCCGAGATCTTGTTGTTTACAAAAAAATGTTACCCCATACCCCGTCTACTTTGTTTTTGGTTTTAAAGGGTGCAAGGAGCCCTTGAGCATCGGGAGCAGAACTGTCCAGGTCGGGCCTCTGGTCGACTTGGGCTCTCATCGGTACATCGTTGAATCGGAGTCGGAAGGACGTTCGGCCCTTGGCATCAGAGGAGCTGCTCCCGCATCGGCCCTGATGGGCCCCACCGCTGCGGCCCCCTGCCCGACGCCCATCTCGCGTCTGGGCCTCTATGTCTCTTGCAACTTCCGTTCGGTAGAAGCGCAACGCAGTAGCTAACGAGGATTCAAAGGAATTGGAGCATCAGGAGTCGGATGAAGAACAGTGGGAGGCAAAGACATCGCGACGATACCTCGGCACCCCTCTGCGTTCTCGTCCGCCCCCCGATCCCCCGATCCCTCGGACTCGTCCTCCCTCATCCCCGCCCCTCGCTGATACGCACAGTTGTTTAATGATGTTTTGCACGCTGATGTGCACAGTCGTTCTTCGAGCACATTGGAGCCAAAGTGCTGCTGGGGCCCTCTGGCGCCACCGCCGTGTTTTTGTCCAGGGCGCCCGCCCGACCGTCCTTCGTTTTTTCCCCGCCCCTCCCTCCCAGCCCACCTTGTGCCGTGAAGAAAACGCGACGGGAGGTTTGTTGCCGTCTTCGGCCTCCGGAGGCCCCAGCCGGGCCCCCGGACCGTCAAGAAACGACCCGGATGAAAGACTCGCCCCTGGGAATGGGTTGAGATTTCCAGAGGTCCACGGTGCGAAAAAATCTCGACGTCGAAGGTTCATGTTTTGCTTCTCCTTCGGCGCGGCCGCGACGCCGGCGCGGGCGTTCGAGGTTGAATACCATTTGTGGGCTCGTTTGGGGCCGTGGGGCCGTCAACAAAAGCAGCCCGAGGCGAGACACGTGTGAGACGATGAGACCTACGCATGCAATGTGGGCCTCCGAGTGCGGGTATAGTGCAGGATTGAGCGGCGGAAGCAGTAATGCAGAGCCCACACCGGAAAGGCAGGAACACGTGAGGGGACATGTGGTAATGGTGCGTGGTTGTGTTTTATTTTTGTGCACGGGGCAGTAGGTGTAGCCTCCTGCCCAAAAGTCTGGTAGTGTTACCGATTGCATTGTGTCTTTATTGTTTGTATCGGATATGTGGGCAGTCAGGTTTGGCGGGAGGACCGGGACTCTTCGTCCTCATCATCTTTAGAGCCAGGATGCCGATTGATTGACTTATCCCATTTGAAACACACTAGCCGTAGCGATTAAAGACCGCCCCAGATGGCTTACGAGGAGCAGTATGGTCCAGGTGCTCCGGAGAGCGCAG